CCCCCTGAGGTACTTCCTCAAAGATCCCCTCTTCAGTGCATCGCTCTAACCATTGCTTTAAAGGTTTCTGCAGGTAGTATGCCACTGGTCTAGGTCGCTGTGCTATTGGTACTGCTTCTGGTTTCATGCTAAGCTTGGCATAAATCTCTTTGTCATGCTTTATATCTCTTATTCTTCCTATGCCACTGAATAACTTGCTATATTTGCCAGTTATGTCTTTTAACTGATTTCTGTCTTTTGTGACAGCCTTGGGTTTGATTCTTAAGCTATTGGTTTCTGCTAGTGACCCATCTGGTTGAAATTGTATCATGCCTAACTTGATGAGGGTGCTTTTGCTGATAAGTGGAGGTGAGTTAATTCTGCCCTTGACCACTATGAATTTGGTCGCTGCTCCACATGTCTCATTTCTCACAACGGTCTTGAATTCACCTTTGACAGGTAGGCTGCTTTGCAAAGTGTTGAGCTTGACATGACTCTTCTCTAGTGTATGTACATATATATCATTAGATCTGTGTACTAATTCTTACAGTTACAGTCTTGTTACTGTTGTTGATTTCACTTATCTTTCTTACTTGTTTGAAATGTTTGACAGTTTGTTTGAAATATTCATCATCAGAACTTGTATCACTGCCTTGCATCTGCTCTGTAGCTCTTTTGATACTTTGTTTTTGTTGTCTTCTCCAGTTGTATGTACTGTGTTGATTGGTGTCATGTCTAGATTTTTGTCTGTCAGTTTCTTTCATGCCCTCATCTCTGTTGCTGGTTTTACATACTGCAGCAAAGTGGTTCAATTTCTGGCATTTTCTGCACTTTTTGCCATATGCATGACAATTTTGACCTTCCTTATGAGCTTCATTTAATCCACAGTATCCACACGGTTTCTGTTGAATTTTTGTTTTTCCCTTTTCAAATGTACCTGATTTCTTGTGTTGCTTATATTGCCTTACTTTAGCGACGATTTCATGTCACATAGCTGTAGTGATGTGTCCTCCAACTGAGCTGCTTCAGTTAGTAGTTGTGTCAAAGACCATTCTTTATTAATGGCTTTCTGGATTATGGCCTGTTTGTCAATTGTTTGGATCAAATGTTCCAAAATTCTCTCATCACAATTGGTACCGAACTCACATTCATTAGCCTTTTCTCTGAGCCTGGCTGCATAAGCCATAGTGGTTTCATTCATTTCTGGTTTCATCTTGAGAAATAAATATCTAGCGTGATGCCTATTTTTCTTTGGGGTGTAGTATGCATCAAGTTTATTCTTCAATTTTTGATACACATCGAGGCCAGCTGTAGTAGGATCAGGTAAACTTTTCTCCAATCTCGCTATTTCTTTTCACCCATAAATTATCAACGCATCTTTCTTGTCTGTAGGCTCTGTTATTCTAAAATACCGAAATTCTCGTTCAATGCTTTCTAACCACTCTTCCCAAGCTTTGCCAGTTGTTATGTGATCATCAGCATGTGTGAACGGTTGGCATTTGAGGTTTCTAGTTTCTGTGACAACGGTTACTGCCATCGGTGCGTCGGCCATGCTTTCTGTGTACATGTCGCAATTCTCACATTGTCGCTGTTTTCTCAGTCAGTTTCTGGACAAATTGTTTTGCTCAAATTTATCACACAGTCACTTTGGCACTCACCAGGTATTTAGGATTGCCTTCCCGTGGTTCTTTCGTCCTCGTCGCCAATGTAATATCTGTCCCTATCAATAAATAGTCGACACATTGCTTTTGTTCCCGCTATTCAGCCATGTTGGATTCTATATATTTTTAGTAACAACGCACAATGCAATGCGCGTCTCAATGACGTCATACATAGCAAAGATATAACAAGCGCCAAATGGCAACAATACTAAAACTATCGTTTAACGTCTGGATATTACAGTAAACTCCACGCTTGTACTCATATAGAGATTGTAAACTCCACACTTGTATTCACATAGATTGTAAATCACACACTTATATTCAAAGAGATTGTAAACTCCACACTTGTACTCATATAGATTGTAAACTCCGCACTTGTATTCACGTGGAGATTAGAAGCTCCACATTTGTATTCATATGGAGATTGTAAACAACACATTTGTATTCGTATAGAGATTTTAAACAACACACCTGTATTTATATAGAAACTGAAGTTGTCACATATGTATTCATTGTAAACTCCACACTTGTACTCATGATATGGAGACTGTAAACATCCACACGTGTATTCATATAAAGATTGTAAATCACGCACGTGTATTCTTACGAAAATTGTAAACTCGGTACTCATATGTCACAATATATCAATGTCACAATAAGTTTAATAAGTATTTGACCGTTATTGCAGGTTAACAAAACAAATGAGACAGTTATGGAGGGGCACTGGTCACAGAGTAGTGCCGTTACGCCATTTGACGACGTCTTGGATCATTTAAAATATCCTGTACTTACAGAGAACGAAGTACAGCAGAGCAGTAACACCGTGTCAAAGAAATATTTGCTGCCCATCATACGAGTACTTGGTGGAGGCAGCAACGTACAGTTTATATCATTTGCCAACGCTGTGAGATTAGCGTTGCGTCTGAACAGAACGCTTGTAATGACGCCCTTCTTTCACCACGGCGCGCACGCCAGAGGCTACACGGCGGGAAATATGAGGAATTTCAATCAAACTTTCGATAGTGAGGTTCTCGCAAATCTTCTCCCCGTTGCTACCGTCCAAGAATTTCTTGAACACTGCGAGAACGGGTCGTCTTCGATTCGCGTCATATCAAGGGCCGGTTACAGCAAAATGTATAAACCAACAGTGGCCATGTTTCGTTGGATACATGGCATCAGACTGCCGCACGCTGAACCGGCGGCTTTCACTCCAGGCATCGAGAAAGATGACACACCGTGTCTTGCAGTTTACAATCCTTCCAATTTTTCAAACCACTACAAGGGAACTCACCACGTTGTCATGAAGCACCTTGAAAGGGCGATGTACATCCGAGAAGCAGCTGACGCTGCGATGACGCGCATGAGCGAGGGAAGGCCTTTTATAGCTCTGCATTGGAGGAACAAAACCGGAGAAGGGTAAGCCCGGGGAGTACTTTACGGGTCCAGTACTTCCAAGCCCCCCCCCCCCAAGACAGACAAAAAACTTATTTTTCACCCAGTTTATTCTGCCAGACATATTATTAAGGCTTGAACGATGATTTGAAGCGATTTTTTAGCTTTAGATTATAGAATTTACATCTGGCGGCACATAAAATAGAGCTTTAGTTTCCAATGGCCATATGCCGCTAAATTATTGTTGAATTTATTAACCATAAATTGCTAATAAAAGTGTAAAACTGAGTGTTGGATGGTGAGGATTTGGGAAAATATTATAATATTGATTATAATATTGTTTTTATAAAAGGTATTCTGACCCGAGTGTAAATTGTCGCGTGCCGCTGATCATCTCGTTGGTTGCCCAGCAATCGTCATGGTACAGAAATTTGTGATGCGAAAAAAGAAAAGAAAAAAATATATATATAACTTTGGTTCGAAAACAATCACATAATTATCAGGGCTGTCTGGTGTTCAGGGAGAAAAAAATACACAAAATTGACATCTAAATGTATAGTAGCAGACTTAGTTCTGTACGTTTCATAGACAGAAAATATGGAAACTGTCAAATTTACAAATTGGTTCTTACCCCTTTTTGATTTGATTTTAAAATATAGTTCCAAACAAATTATTTCATTATCTCGAGTTTCCAAAAAAAAAAAGTCAAAGATTTGTTTTCAATTCAACAGTCTCGTGCATTAATCCACTTCAGTAATGTCACATTTAAATGATTTACCTTAAACAATCATTCTAAGTTTATGTTTATAACACAAATTGGTCCGTGAACCAATTTTTCACATATTTTGTTTTCATAGATTAAAATAATATATTCTCAAAAACTGTATTAATGAACCTTCTTGGACGTAATTACGTCGAAGAAGCGCGCCGTCGCTAGATGGCGCTGCTCATAGCAATGATGTATTATCTACCGCATGAATTGGGTGTTCTTTTATATAGATGCGTCTTTGGTGAGAGGGACATAGAATGGTGTAACAGAACGCAAAAACTAATCAGCCTAGCAGCCAGGTCCATCGTTCCTTCCATTGCACTGCTGATGAAAGCCCATAAGATTGACTGTATCTATGTTGCCCATCCACTGTGGTCTAAGGTACGTATTACATATACACACGTGGAGAAAGTCCGTTGAGAGTTTTTACTAGCCCAAAAAGAAACCCGAATAAGAATCGATGTAGTCTCGATTGATTTTGGGGATTGTTCCTGAGTTTCCCGAGTTTTAGACAGAATTACTATAATAAATGAAGTCAATAGAAGATGTCTTGGTCGGTGGCCCGGGGGGGTACTGGGGGTACCCTTTATCAGACAGA